CCCCAAAACCCCAAAACCCCGCATGCTAACAGTTTTTGAAATTTTTACACTTTAGTAATCTTTAAATAATTTAATAAATCAATTGAATCAGAATTACATTATTATTGCTTAGATTTCGATAGAACTTAAAATTGATCAATTATAAAATGAATTCCCAAAAAGAATAGAATAAAACAGCACTAAATATCTTCAACACTGAACCAATTATCTCTGATTGCAAATTTATTCTACAGCGTTAGTTATTTGAATCCAAACCAGAAACAGAGATATATCTAGAGTATTTAGAAATACAAGATGATGTCATAATTGGAAAGGGATTGTTAAAAACAAGAAATATGGAATACTTGATAAATGGAATAATATAAGATGAAATGTATAATGGTATTGTCTCTATAATAAGCACCAAGGATAATATAATTTACCAGAAAATGTTTATATATGGTAAAAAGTATAATGTAGACCCTAAAGATTAGGAAAATTTCTATCTAAAAGGATTTTTTAGATAATATCAAGATACTGATGACCCCAAAAACCTCAAACTTAAACAAGGAAAAGTTGTACTATAATATGATGTGAAAAATCCTTAAGGAAGATTAATCATTAGGGTAATTGAATTTTGATAATTTTTATAGTAAAAAAGACATCATCACATTGAATTAAGAGATCCTGCTCCTACCAATATCTTGTTGACTGTTGAAGATATCCCATGTTTGTGCAATTAAGAGACAAAAATTTGAGAGAGTGATCTTTTGATTGATACTTTATTACAAATTACTTGCACGTAAGTTTTCCAAATATCTAAAAACATGTTTCATAGATTATGTGGGAAGTTAACATCAAATCAACATTTTGTGTGTGGAAGTAAAACAAAAGCTAATTGTGATCTTAAACTCTGCAGAGGATGCTTGGATAATATCCTATAAATTAAGAAAGATGAACTAAGTCGAGATATATTGAATTCTGAATAAAAGTCTTTAACTACTTAAAATGTTGGTTACATCAAGGCAATCTTCAGAGAATTTTTCAGAAATCAAGGAAAGAAAACAACTTCAATATTAAGGGATTTTTCTGAATATAGATGGTATGAACTGTATCATTTCAATGAGTAGAAGCTTGAATTCGAAATAAAAGAAAAGTTAGAGCTCTATATAAGTAAAGTGGATAATGAAGAGGGTTCTATGCATTTAATGCACAATGCAAAATAGCATAGAAGATACGAGTACTCAATAGAAAACTAACAATTTTAGGAAGCTTAAATTGATGAAAGCTAAGTTTGGGCATTAAAAAGCTTGAAATAGAAGGGTTAAAGTATCCAGGATATTTGTGTATTTCAGGATCTAATTCAGTTAATTATAGCGAAGAATTTATCTTTAAAATTTAGTGAGGCAATCAAAGATTAAGGGTATAGTTTGCAGTACATAGATACATATCTCTTGATACCACTTTTCAATAATTCAGGCTAGTAATACTATTAAGTTGAAATGTTCTAAGAAGGTGACATAGAAAAATACAATACGCAGTTACAAGATAGCTATTAGAGGAAGATATTATAAAAAACTGATGGGGAAACAAATATATTTGAGACATTAAATGAGGATTAATAATTATATTAGAAACTAGCTAGTGCTTTTAGCCATTGGACTTACTTTATTACAAAAGAAATGTTTATTGTTGTAGATGTTTAAGGCTGGAGGGATGGAAAAATTTTAAATTTAACTGATCCTTTGATTCATTCATACTTATAAGGAATGTTTGGAATTTATGATTTAGGAGAATATGGAAAATAGACATGGCTAAAGAATCATGATTGCGAAAATAATAAATTTTGCAATTATCTAGGACTATAAAAAACTAAAACTACAGATAATTTTGAAGTTGGGTTTGAACTGACAGAGATCATGAGATAATTTCAATAGAACTAAAAGATTTTTCAAATTCAGTTCTAAACAATGGTTACTGAAATATACAATGATGATAATTATATTGATATTGAAGAGATATATATTTCAAAATGAACTTTATATAATTTATTTTAATTTTAAAGTCCTAACTTATAAATATAATTTAAGTATTTAGGGGTTTTGGGGTTTTGGGG